TTCTTCGTTTGCCATCTATTGTTCCCAGCGTTAGAATCTTCTCCAGGGAGTCCTTCCTTCTCATTAGGTGGCCAAAGTATTTGAGTTTCATCTTCAGGATCTGGCCTTCTAACGAGCAGTCTGGGTTGATCTCCTCTAGCACTGACCAGTTTGATCGCCTTGCAGGCCAAGGGACTCGCAGGAGTCTCCTCTAGCACCACAATTCAAAGGCCTCAGTCCTTTTGCGCTCAGCCTTCCTTATGGTCCAGCTTTCACAGCCATACATTGCAACTGGGAAAACCATAGCCTTGACTATACACACTTTTGTTGGCAGGGTGATGTCTCTGCTTTTTAGTATGCTGTCTAGATTTGCCATAGCTTTTATCCCCTGGAGCAAGCGTCTTTTAATTTCTTGGCTGCAGTCCCCATCTGCGGTGATCTTAGAGCCCAGGAAAATAGTTTCTTTTATTTTCCTGGGCTCCAAGAAACTAAATTAGGGCATGGCGATAACTACTCTGGCTAAATAGTGGATTCTGTGAGCTGCTCAACTTTGCCACAGCAATGTGGGCCTTGGTGGTGGCGGCAGCATCGTGTTCCTGATCCTGCCTTGCTTTGGACTGAGTCTTGACAGCTGCTTGCCCTTGACTCTGCACTGCTTCTGCTCTGACCCTGTCTTGCCAGGTACCGGATCCTCGCCTTCATCTCTGATGCCTTGTAGGTATCAGATCCTTGCCTGACCTTCTCTTTGCCTCTGGTTCTTTCATGCCCTTTTAGTATCTGATTCTGGCCTGTTCCTGATTCTGCTCTGCTTCTGTACCTGCCATGCCTTGTCAGTATGTAACCTCACTTGCTCCTGGCTCCATTTTCATCTTTGGACCTGTTCGGCCTTGCCACATATCTGACCCTCGCTTGTTCCTGACTCTGCCTTTGCTTCCGGTCCCACTGTGCCTTGCCTTTGCATTTTGCCTATGCCTCTGGCCCTGCTGTATCATGTCACAAATCTCTATCATCCCTGATGCTACAGCCATAGATATCTGCTGCCTCCATCTCAGACCTGAGGCAGGGTCATGGAGAAGTGGAGGAAAGGTCCCTGGGGGTGCATTCGATCTCCTCACAAGTCCTATGGACTTTGTTACTAAAGAGACTGAAGTAGGGCCTTGGGTTCTGTCAACAAAAACATCCAGACACAAGAGGCACAACAAAGGTGTTACTACACTGTGGTAGTTTGGGAGTTATGTGCAATCTTTGAACTGCATCAGCAAATAGTTCTGGAAAAAAATGGACCTTTTTATCATTGTATGTTTCTGCTCAGGTAGTAGCAGCAGTATTATTTTTAAAATGCTGTCTATTTTAAATTACATGTATAGCTTAAAATGTTGTCAACTGCTCCACCTACTGAAATTTTAGTGGAATGAATTACAGAACTACAGAAGGTATCATTTACCTCCTATTAAGAAACAATAGAGAATAAAACAGCAATAAGTATTTAACAACTGAAAACTTTGAATGCTTGACTCTTTCTTACTTGGCTTTATTTTAAAAGGGCTCATTTAATTTTAGTTAGCACACTGCCAAATTCGAGAGTTCTTTTTAGTGCAAACATTTGCCCAAACAGTATTTTCAAACTGATTAAAAACCTATATAAAATCTTATTCAAACTGAGAAAAACCTGCCATCCACAATTATTGTGGAATTATGTGCAGTTGTGGAGAAATTATGTGCACCTGAAAGCATCCTGTTGATTGTCTTAGAAACCCATAGTCTGATTCAGGGATTATTTAAAGCCTCTCCTGCAATTCTCTGTCCAGTTTATGTCTCAGTACAATCCCTCCTCCTTAGCTGCCTCTGCATGTTCTTGCAACACTGTACAAAGCCATTAAAAACAAAACACCAAGAAGCTCCACATGATTCTCTCTCTCTCCCTCTCTCTCTCTCTCTCAGCTTCTAGTCCCCACTCAGCTATGAAGCTCACTTTGGGCCAGTCACTCATTCTCAGCCTAAACTACCTCACAGGTTGTTGTGAGGCTAAAATGAAGCTCCTTTGGTTTCCCCACAAGAAGAGAATAGATAGGATATAAATGCAATGTAAGGATAATAGCACTTTCCACAGATACATAGAAACAGAGAAAGTCAGAAGGGGCCTTCCAGGCCATCAACGAGAGGTCGTTGAGACCCCACCGGTGTGGGTGTTCAAGGATAGGCCAGACGTCCACATGGTTGGCATGTCGTGAGCAGAGCTTGCTGGTGCCGGAAGTCAGACTAGATGGCCCGGGAGACCCCTTCTGACTCGCTCTGTTTTCTATGTTCCTGTGTTTTCTATCTAGTGTGACCCCCGGCTCCAGCCAGCTCTGCTAATGACATGCCCACCATGTGCATGTCTAGCCTATCCTTGAACACCCTCACTGATGGGGCCTCAACCACCTCCTGTGGAAGCCGAATACCAGTATTTCATAATTTTTACCTGTAAAAGCAGGTAAAGCCAAAATTTCAGGAGCCAAAATGCATTTTATGAAAGACAGAAAAACAGGTATGCAAGGCCCAGAGGAAAAGAATGAGAGCAGAAGGGTAGCAGAATCTGTAGTGGAAGCCAAGACGATGGAAGTGATGCGAAAGGATGGGGACCCTTCCAGATGTGACAAGGAAAAGCGTATGTGGGTGGGCATGGGGAAGCGCTAATTCAGTCTGAACGTTGCAGTTATGCAGGATATGATTGTGACTGAGAGATAGCCTGGCTACTTGCAAAGAATTGGTAGAGCTGATTCGGTTTTGGCTGCCTTACAGCCAGTAATGACCATCCCAGCCAGAAGCCTCAGAGCGCTGATTGTGACGTGGCTGATGTTGGGGAGTTGCATCACATTTGGCCATCTGCTGCTGGGCTGAGCCTCAGGTAACAGAACCAGAGGATTGAATTTCATTTTCAGTAAAGCCTACAGACTTCTGTCCTCTACCAAACAGGTTTAATCTGCAATTTTCATAATGGGTACCTGGTGCCGGGGCACCAAACAGGCAAAAGCCAGGAGTACATGCTTCTTTGCAAAAGAATGAAATCACCCCTCTTTCCTTCAATTCACTTTGGAGGAATAACTCAGATGTTCATTCCAGCCAGACCTGCTGCCCTAATTTAGTGGTACATCTACAAACACAGACTCTGTAGGCCTTGGGCAGCTTTCTTGCAAAATGGTGGACTTATTGGCAGGATTCCTGGCAGCATGCTTTAAAAAATTATCCACCAAGTAAGAAATCTATCTTCCAAAGTCCATTTTGCACTGAAATAATAATTTATTCAATTTTACTTGCTTTCCCAAATGAACCCAGATGATAGACCCCAGAGAGCATTAATGGCTCATAACAGGAGAGTTATGGATAGATTTCCTGCTTATCTGGCAGGAATGTTGCTTCATAGAGCTATAAAGTCAGATAAAATTGTCTCAGCTGAAGATGATCTTGCAATTCAATTTCATATAATAAAATTGCTTTACTATACAAAGTCAGAGTTAATAGAGAAGAAACCCCACTGTGCAGTTTCAGGGGTGAGGGAGGTCAATGTAACAGTATCTTTAAGGGCATATTCTTAAAACATGAACAGAGCCTAGAGAACCTATGTAATGTCCATCAAATATGATGAGGCACCACCTTCCACCAGGGCTGAGGGGACAACAGTCAACTTTCATTCAATCACCTTTTGCACATGAAACAGGAGTAGGGCATCTTGTTCTTCACCTAACATAGCAAAATGTCTTAGCTCAGCTGTGCCACAAGGAGTAATGCTCCATGCATGTGCCACCTCCCCTGTTTAGTAATGCATCTAAAATATGAGGATCAATATTCACTCCTGATTTAGAAGCCAAATCACATCAGCCTGATTCTCCAATCAAGCCTTTAAAAAAGCAGATGTGAGCAGCTCTAACCTCATCAGTTGGATTACCTCCTGGTTGGATTACTGTAATGTGCTCTACGTGGGGCTGTCCTTGAAAACGGTCCGGATACTTCAGCTGGTACAGAACATAGCTGCCTGGCTGCTGCCGGGGACTGGTCGTTATTCTCATATAACGCCAGTCCTCTACCAGCTACACTGGCTTTCAGTTGTAGCCCGGGCCCAATTCAAGGTGCTGGTTTTAGCCTATAAAACCCTGAATGGCTTGGGAACTGGATACCTGAAGGAGCGCCTTTTCCCTTATATGCCCTCACATCCCTTAAGATCTGCGGGAGAGGCTCTGCTCTGGGAGCTCTCTTTAAAGGAGATAAAAAGAACATCTACCCAGAGCAGGGCCTTCTCTGTGGTGGTGCCCAGATTATGGAATGCGCTCCCTGGAGAGGTGCGCCTGGTGCTGAGTTTATATTTTTTTCGGCGCCAGGTTAAAACCTTATTTAATTACTATTTTAAAAACTAATTATTTTATTGTTGAACAGTCATTCTTTTTGTTTTCGGTTTTTTGTCCTTATGTAATCTTTTATTGAATTTGTTATTTATAAAGATCATTTTATTGTTTTTAATTGTATGTATTGTGAGCCATCCCGAGATGCCAAGGCATGTTGTGACAGCATACAAAAGTTTTAAATAAAAATAAATAAATCAGAACTTACTTCCACATACAGACATTTGTACACTGTACCACTGAGTGCTAATATCAAATTTCTATCCAGGAGGAAATTCTTCAGAAAGCTGCTGGAAGGGTGGATTTTTGGTGTACAGAAGTAGCAGCCTACTTTTATACAAATGGCCTTTGAAACATTTGGGTAGGAAGACATCTTTGAGGAAAACTGCTAGTTAGCTGGAAGGGACCCTATCGGTGCCTATAAAACTAGTCAGATGTCTGTGGTGGAGAAAATGTAAAACTAGAAAACTAGGTTTTTGGTAACAGTAGTCATACTGTGCATTGCTGTAGATTCCTAGCTCTCCTATGTCTTCTTTCTCCATCTGGCAGCAGTTAGTTTTGGAAATAACAGCATGATCATTTTTCTGTGTGAAGAGAATACTGTTCCTATGTAAATTCAGCACATTACATATGTGCATAAGACTTTATTTTTATTTAATACATCAAGTATGATAAAGGAAATGTATCTGACAGCAAATCTTGAGTGTTTCCATTTATCTTCATGTCTAACAATTTCCTCCCTAGGGTAGCAAACCATACTGCAAATTTGTCTTTATCTTATAAGGATCCAGATATTACAGAACTGGCCAAAGAAGTGAGCAAATAATATACTTTTTTAAAAGCTGAGAATGGGAACAAGTATTAATAACCAAGAAAACATAGCAGCATGGCAAAATAATCGCATTATCTCTGAACAGCATTGTCATAAAAAAAGAAGAAAAAGATTTTACACATGTATGGAATTAAACAAATAGCTCCAATCCTCCCTCATTGGATATATACACCACATATTACTTCCATTGACTCTATATGTCTCACCTGCTTGGAAGTAATCATGGTTTGATTAAGTAGAAAGAATTTACTGGCATTATGGTTGACGTGAAATTTGACTAAATGGTCTTATTATCATTCCTGGTTAATGTCTAAGCAGCAATTTGTAAGTTGCCAGAAGGCAGCACTAGTAAAATCAATCACATCACAAGCATGTGTCTGTATTTAAAATACTATGCACAATTTAGAAAAAGCATGAATGATGTAAAACTTGTTTTAAAATGCACGCGGTTTTCACTGCACACAAAGCAAGTGGGCACTGTCCCTGTCTTGAGCTGCTTCCTCCCCACCCAGTGGCTGTGCACTGGCCATTATCTACTCCCCTACATCTCCTTTAAATCTAGTTTTCAAACTGGTTTTCCCACCTTGCATTTTATTATGTTAATCTATGAAAGTGCAGTGTGACAGGAATACAGGCACATTCAGAAGTGTTTGACATCATTATTTCCATAGCAAACCCTACACCTATCATCTTGGAATGTTATTTCTTATTATATCCCATTCCCCTGCTCAGTTTCCCACATGTTTGCCCTTACCAGTTGCATCACTTCTGGCAGCTCATAGCCATGGACTGCATGAACCACCAAGACCTTCAGATTTGTCTCTTCCATTGAGTTCCACAAGTATATAGTAAAAGTACTGCTTAATCCTGAAGCACTTGATATTTGTGGCTCCTTCCACTAATCCATCCAGAAGGACAGACTAGGTAAGACTTCTCCCTTAATCTGTTGTAGGGAACAAGAGCATGCCCACCTGCTTCTCCTACAAGCTGCATTTGCCCCATCTCCTTATGTAATGACCAGCTGGCCTTGGCACATACATGGGAAGACCCGAGTAACAGGACCTGCAACCATGGCCAACATGGTATTTCATGCCATGAGCTGTTTTCAGGCATCACATTCCTACAGAGGCATGCAAGGACACATGCACTCTTTGCCAGACTAAGGGAAACATAATGTTAAATCCACTTAAACCTTTCATTATTTCTTTAATCTTCATAGCACCGTACACCTTTCTAGTATTATAATATAAAACAAGCATTAACATCTTGTTCCTTCCATTTGTATCACCTGGGTTCCCAACACTAAAAGAAAATTCCATTCTCTCACCACATTTTTGTTTTAAAGTTTTTGTTCCTGGGGCTTATGATGCCTTTAAGAACAGATGTTAACAGCGATGTAGTTATCTGGAAATATGCGTTCTGTGCTAATACAACGTGAATGTATGGATAACATCATGATATGGTTTCGTCACTACCTGGTACAGAACATAGTTATATGTAGTGGACTCAGGAGTTTCCTGTTGCTGATCTGTGCTGGTTGGAACGATACAATAAAGTTGTTGAACTTCTGGACTGTTACACTCTCAAAGACTTCTATAGCAGCTCAGTTTCTGTGCCTAGCTGCAATATTCATCCTTCTCCAGTATACCACCATAGTTATGTGCAATACTTATCTCACTGTAACTATGCATCTTATGCAATTTTATTTTGAATACTGAAACATCTTATTTTATGATCATACATAAACAAACATACAATATGTTTCACTGCCTTTTTTCCTTTTACAGAAATCCGCAGAATTATTAAACATACAAAAAGCTGATAGCCACCTCCAGCCCAAAAGCATAATATGAACTTTATTGAAGGAAGGGAGCACAATCCACTGGACAGTGTTCCTTTGAAGCCCCATTATGCCCTATGGAACCCCCATTCATCTCAGTCTCTCTCAGTGCAGGAGGCCTTCCTGTCAGATTGTGCACTTTTGATCTTTTACATATACATCTCTTCTTTCACCACATCACCACCAGTTAACCTGTAGCTTGCAGTGTAGCTTTGGCAGCACTGCAGTGTGTTACACAGAGTGCAAATTAGGAACAGCAACCATGTGATCTCTCATTTGAGCTATAAAAAGAGCAAAGTATCCCAGTACATAAGCTCTACATTCCTTGTATCAGAATAATGTGCATATAAGGACAGCTGCTCCCATCCAATTTAAAAGAATGGTTACAACAGTTTAAATCAGGCATTTTTGGTCAAGATGAAACAGAATGATCATTAGCTTTTGCTTGAAATATTTGGAATAGTTCAAAATAAGCTTGTATGTTCAAGTTTGATAGGGGTGTGCAGCAGAATGCCACACATTGAGAGAAATAGAACGCCTCCAGTCATTAAAGTGTTATTTAGTTTTCTTCATGAGCCTGTTTTTGTTTTTTTTGTTTTTTTCTGCATTTCTTACAAATATCAATAACATTAATCTGCACACCAAAGACTGGGTAGAAATCCTTTAAAATCTTTTAAATCCACTTTCAGGCACTATTCATGGAATACCTACAATATATTCCAATAACTTAATGCACTTTGTGATTAGCTAGATCCAAACATAGCACGGAAAACAAAGACATTATCCTAATAAGACAAATCACTTTTCTTTGACTACAGCTTCCTAATCTTAGATCAATTTAGCACATATATTTCATTATATTTGTTCAAGGCGAATGCTATTGCATTCTAACTGAATCATACTGAAGAGATGTTTTCTAAAGCTGCAGGCTTCAGACATACTTTGCTTTGTCTGCTTTGTTGACCGAGGAGACCGCGTACCACAGAATTGGTCATGGGTTTTCATTGTAGTATTCTAATGAAAAATACTAAGGAATAGCCCTATTTTAAATGAAGGCGCTTTCTTCCACCTCCATGCAGTTAAGCTTTACACTGTGCAAACCATTTAACACAAATCTCCAAAAGGTTCTAGACTATTCATCAGAAGAATTCTTGGAAGCCAAACCTGTTTAAACACAAACAACGTGCAAACTGAAGCAAGGGTGAAAATTGAGTCATCATACTACAACATACATATATCTACCCAGAGCAATTAGACAGAGAGGCTGGCATATCATCATTAGAACTCCATATACAATTAATTTCCCATAGGAGGATTTGATATTTCATCATTTGGAGCCTCAGTAATTGAATTATGTTTAAATGTTTTCTGGCACAGCTGAAAAGAGAATTAATATAAGCAAACTGTGAATGAGATGAAAAGTCAATCAGCATTTACTTTCTCTTCATCAGATGGAATTCAACAATAAACTACATTCCTTTCTTGTGTCTATGCTAATTCTGATTTCAGTTATTATATTTCCTACTATGGGGAAAGCAGGAAATAGGAAATACATTCAAGGAAACCAGGGGTTGAGGTTTAATGATTTCATAATTTGTTTCAATGGCTAGACAAAATGAACCTCTAGAATGAGTATAGCTGCACAGGCAACATGATTAACATGTACTAACTGTAGCTGGAATTGGGTTTTCCTCCCACACAGGACTGCATACTGTTTTATAGCAGCTGTAGCGACACTCAGAAATAACTGCATCCAGCCCAGATTGCATGTGCAGCAAAGATCATGACAACACTGTCAGTGTTACAGTCCCTTTCTGGCGCTTCAGAATAGCTACAGCTTGCTCATGTGTCACGCCCTCCAGAGTTTCTCCATTAACAGCCAAAATCTGATCACCACGCTTCAGTCTGCCATCATCTGCAGCTGCTCCCTGAAAAACAAACACAAACGGTAAATGAGAGGTCAAGCAATTTTATTGGGCTTATGTACAAGGAAAAGGAGAAGGAGGGGATGTTTGTGTTCAAGCCACTCTGAACAATATCCCTGCTTTTTGGATTATTTGTAGCAGTTAATGCTCCAAAGCTTTCACAGGGACTGAAGAATGCAGCAAATAAGATTTTGCTCTAATGTCCTTCTGGATGGCTGCCCCTAGACCAAAACGTGCCTTAGATTAGGAGAATAATTGCTCAGTTTTTGAATACAGTTTTTAAAAAAATACGCGTAGCTCAACTTTCACCAACCTGGTGCCCTTCAGATGGTTGGCCATGATTATTGGGGCTGGTGGGCCAACAAACTGTAGGGCACCAGCTTTATTTAACAGCCTGTTTAACCATTTGATAATGTGTTATCCCCATTACATAAATTGTATCACATCTGGATCTGGTCACAAGCAGATTTTCTCTGTGGGGTAAACATAGGAGAGGAAGTTGCAATTTGTTTTATTTCAGCCTCTGCCACTGCTGCCACCACAGGTGTTGGCTGAGAAGGTCAGAGTTGCCAGCTTTACAAGTGAAGATACTGTTTGTGCTCTGTATTTCAGCAGGTAGAGATAGCCTAGAAAAGCAGATCGTCTGTGGCAGGTGCCCTCTGCCTCCAGCCGGACATTCTGGACAATTGCATGTGGAATTCTATGCTGATCTTGGCAACTTATAAAAGAAACCCTTAAAAAAAGTAATTAACAGGTATGCTCTTGTGATACTGGAACAACAGAAACAGTCGATCATGTTCTCTTATATTGCAGCTTTTATAGGGAATGCAGAGAGAAATGGATCAAACCTTTAATAACAGATCCTTACTGGAATAATTATTCCACTTTGGTATCTGATTGTTTAAGGTATGTATGTTACCAGAAATGTTGCCAATTTTTTAATGACTGCAATGCAGATTAGGAAAAAAGTGGCCGCTCGCTTGGGTGGAAATATTGTATAAATTGTACTTGTTTTAACTGTGTTTTAATTTTTCTACTGATATTATACCTTTTTGTTGAACTTTCTGCTCTGTGATCATAAAATAAAAACTACAACTACTACTACTAGCACTACTACTTCAGAATTGCTCTTGAACAGACAATGAAAAGAAGTACTTTGCGAGCGGGGTCCCACTCTTTCCTTCATCTTTTCCCTCCTTACCACTGAAAAAATAAATTTGCCTGCAGGCATGCTAGTCCATTCGCAACTCATCCTGTCTCCACTTTTGCACGTAACAGCATATTTAAGAATTTCAGTATAGATACATATGTACAAGAAAGGGTTCTAATTCCAATTTCAAATGCTGTATACCTCAGCAAAGATAGAAATGTCAATAAGAAATGTACACAATTCCCCAAACTTGTAAATAAGCAAGCAAACAAGAAGCTTGCAATGTAATGCAAAGAACATCCATTGGGAAGGTAAAACATGCAAATACTGATAGCAGTGAACAATGAGCGGTGTTCATGAAATTTTAAAAATCAACAAAAAGCAACATGCGGGTACACTCCAAGTCCTCTAAAGGGAGCAAACAAACAGGCAAACAATGACTCTGATATCAGAGCAAATTAAAACTACCTGATTGTGATTAAAGTAAACATTTTAAAGTTGAAACCCTTGGATACCTTTCTTCTGGGATGAACAGAAGTTTGTGGGATCAGGGTAGAGGAGACATTCATTGGGTTTAAAATGTGGTGGCCCCAATCCTATTAAACATGCAATTAATCAGCTGTAACCATGCAATTAATATCAGGTTTAGATCAACCCTCAAGTGGTGTTTTTACAAGAAGAATGGACCTCATCCTGCAATCCTAACCCTCAAATGAGAGCCTAGGAGTACTTTCAAAATGCTATAGGAGCTGATCATTTAAGGGCAGTCTTCACTTAGGCAAGCAGTCCATAAGCATTCGATCTGAAAGGGATGTCACTCCCATTTGTTAGAGGCCACAAACTTGAACCTGGATCTTTTCCCTATTTCTTCAGCTTGACTATTGCAAATGTACCTTGGAGCAGTTATATGATTCATCATTAAGTTTGTTGTTGTTGTTGTTGTTTTTAAATTACCTTTGCAAAAATAGTCTTGACATAAATAGGGAGGTCTCCATGAGGACTTCCGTAGCCTCCCACAATGCTAAATCCCAATCCATCTGAGCCTTTCTCCAACACAATAACCTTAGGTTGAGGTGTTCTGAAAAACACAGCAAATGCCACTTACAACACTGCTTATTTATAAAGTTGGGGGGTGGGGGACCTAGCTCAGGTTGCCTCATACCTGCAGAACAATGACTCTAGAGCAGAATGGCAATGGCTTTCCAAGGTTTCAGGCTGACATCTTTCCCTGCATGCGAAGACCTCATGCTTGCAAAGAATAAGCTGTACTATTGGACTACTGAGCCTCTCTATGAATCACCAGGGTACTTTTCTAATAGGACTGCCACTTTTCCCCCTACTTGGCCTACATTGCCTTTATTACCTGCAGAAATCTGCAAGAGGAACTTTTCATGTCCCTGAAATCTAAAACAGGAGAAGTTTAGTGATCTCTACAGTTGCTAATAGCCTGAGGATCCAAGCATGGAAGGCATTCACCAAGCAGGTGGCAGCAACAGACAGTGGAAGCATATAAATTAACTCAGATCATTTATTCGGAAAACAATTATTACTGGCAGGAACCTCTATAACAGTGCACCTTCCATGATTGCTTCTACCCAGCTTGCTACAGGCAAGGGCTAGTTTATCTACAGTTTTTTGAGTGCTATCAAGGTGGGTTACTACTCAGAAGATTCAGCCTGCAAAGACAGTTTTGTCTGAGATGCTTTCATTGCTCTTGGTCCCTGGAATTCTGCAATTTGATTTGCAGTGTGAGGGAAATGATTCTTATCTGAGAAGTGATGTCAATAGATAATGGCAGTTACTGTGACTAGGTTGAAGTCCCACTGAAGAGTTCTCACAGGCCAGATGTGAGAGGAGATCCCTAATGATTGTATAAACAGAACAATGGCAGCATAGGATAATTTTTTAATCCCAACAGCAGCGGTAACTCACTTGCTGATGTAAAAGCTTTGATGTTCATTCCACTTGCAGAAAACTAACAGTAGAAATTAGGCCTTAGAAATTAGAAAAAATATAGCACACATATTTCTGGGTCGAACTTGCTTGAACAGGACAGGAAGTCATTGCTAGGAAATCATCAAGCACCATGAGAAAAATGTTGCTATTGCACAAGAACAGAGGTGCAGGGATAGCTTACATTGTTGTGAGTGCTTTTATAATGATTTGCATTAAGTACTCCAGTTCATGAATCAGAGAGATAAAAGGTTAAATTAAAAACAAAAAGTGACTTCATGGTGCATGCATCTTAAAAAATTTCCCTGGAAGAGCACTGAAAGACATCTCATTTAATTTCGCTAAAGACAGATTATGTAGAATTGCAGTTGTAGCTCATTTTAAGTGAAAACACATCCAGACAGGACCAGAGACAATAAGACAACATATCAGTGGGAAAACTCAAGAGGATAGTTTGACACAACTCAGTCAAAAGAACCCGAACAAGAATGTCACAATGGCCTGTAGCATATTTACATGCAATGTGCTGTTGGCTATTCTGTCCAAGAAGAGCCACTGAAACAGAAATATTTACATTATCCACAGAGGAGAGTGGGGTGTTGGTGGTGGAGGACAACAGGCTCATCAATAAAGCTTATCAATTGTTGACATAAAACTAGGTAGAAAAGAAGGAAGAATGAGAACAAGAGTGTGCTTGATTCATGTTCATGCAATAACAGGGTTGGCCTGTATCCAGAAAATCATCTTATCTCCTCATACTTGGGCAGGATGTTTTATAGCCAAATGTAAAACTAAAAAAGAACAGTCTGCAAAACTGAATGAAGAAAAGTACAATTATGCCATCCATACTTCCTGGAAACAGAAAATGTACACACCATTGCTCATTCACAGGGGGCCTGGGGACGCCTCACCCACTGCAGTTTTTATTTTGAAACTTTCTAGCAGCTTTGTATGGTGCTTCTCAGTGGCAAATTTATTTCCAGGGTGGAGTTCAGCAGCCTTAGGTTACTTGCATAACATTCAACATGCATGAGGAGGGACGTGCCGCTAAGCAGAGAAGGTCCTATATATACCCTAACCACAGGAAGTCCTACTGCTTTCCTCCTCTTTCTTCTCCCTCCACAGGCTCACCCTCCCACGAAATGGGATGCATCCCCTGCCTCAGTCCTCTGTCCACATCAGGAGGACCTGCCACACTGCTTCTCCATTGCCAGCAGGGTTCTCCTGAACTGCTATATGGTTGCCAAGTGTGGTAGCAATGGGAGAAGTAGGGATCTTGCAGCGGTGCTGTCACTTTGTTTTCCCCTGCTGAAACATCACAAGCTGAGGCTGTATACTTTCCTCCTGCTAGCCATTGACAAGGTCTGGAAAACCTTTTTGAACAAATACTGGAGTCTGATTTTCTAAAGTTCTGTAACAGGCATTGCTTATGAAGAATTGCTAGATAAAGAGGCCTGAAAATTTAAATCATAAACCATGTGCACAATACCATGGGTATCCTATTAGGACAAATAAAACAAGGGTAAGTATGTTATAGGGCTGTTTTAAGGGCTTCTGTTATAAGGACAGCTCAAATGTGTGTGTATGTGTGTATATATTTATCAAGACTGACCTGGAAAAAAATATAACCTGAACTACCAAAACAACACCACTGTATTATATGTCTCATACCACTAGAAACCCAACTTAAGTGAACACAGGTTCTGATAGAGTTTATGTGATTCAGAATTTTGCATTTGGGAAGATGGTTGAAGCTCAGATTGCCTGACAACTTAAAAGTCCACAGCCACCTGCAGCACACTATAAGGGATAAAACATGCATTCAAAATCCGAAAGTAAATTATCAATCAGATTGATCACAGGAGCAGTGCTTTGTGCTGTTCACCAAGAGCATCTGCCACTTCTTTTCAGCTGCATGTTGCATCGTCTAGGGTATTCAAACCATTAACACAACAGGCATACTTACTCTGGGTCTTCAGCATGGTGCTCTGAAGGTGGACTAAAACTGGAGCTGGCAGTCATACTCTCTAGCTGGCTTGCTATGGCACTGATGTTGGTGTCAGCTATGACCTACAGGGCAATATATGATAGGATATTAGCAACTTTGGCATTGGTATGCGTAGCAAATGAGTTATCCTAATAGGAAAGGGGACTTAAATTGTTGGATGAATGAATACATGAAATGATAGAAGCATCCAAGATAGTAGCCAGGTTAAAACTGAGTGGATATAAATTTTATCAGTGTCTAGACAGAAGACTGTTTGAAGCCCTGTATAATCTGTTCAGCTTTTCAAAGGAAGAGCTGAAAAATTGTTCAGGAGCACGTGTTTATTCAAGGATAGATTTGAGCGCCCCTAGGACTTTTGCCAACATGGATACATACATGAACAATGCCCTCCCTCTTCTAGACTTGAACAGCCAGATGGAGGGACTCTTGAGGCTCTGGAATCAACACCCTATCTAGCCCTTTGCAAATCGCTGCAAGAATGTATTAAGCACATTCTTTGGCTGGCACAAAATGAACAAATATTGCTCTTTCTGGTTGTAAACACTTGCTACCAAAGAAAAAATATGGTTTGTTTCATTAATGAACTAAATCTATGACATCTAAATTCTAAAACTGCACAGCATCACTTTTGGATCTACAGTATTTACACTAATTAATCTGACAATATCTTGTGAAGACATCCACCCTATTTCTTATATAATTTAGCACAAAACATTTTCTTTCTGTTGCATTAGGTGCTTTTGTTACTGTTTGCAATACACTGAAAAGCAGAAATAGTTGCAGTTTTTTTAACTGAATTTTCTATTTTAACACCATGCTTTCCTTGTGTTGGAAGAGTTTTTTGGTAGGGGATTGGTCTAATATTTCATTAACGTTCTCTGATTTTATAATGTTCTCCTGCCTCACCACTTCTAAATTTTACCAGAGACTTTGACTTCAAATATAGCCATCCCAAACTAAACCTTTCATTGTTGTTCTTTCAGTCCTTTTTTTAGAATGTAAAATACCTTTGGTTTTAATTGCTTTGCTTTCCAAAGAACTATAACCCGCTTATTCAGCATCTTTATCCAAAACTAAGAATTCTTGCACCATTTTGTGTATTCATATGAAAATGTGCAGAGAGAAATAAGAGCCCATTATTTAATGAGAAAGGTGGAGAAGATAAAATAACTGGAGATTTATGGCACAGTCATATGGGAATGTCCATAACCATCTCCTCTGGAAGGATTATGGGCATCCCATGCAGGGTGGAAGGAGTGTAGGAAGGATGGATGATTTGAGATGTCTAATGTCACAGTGTGGAATGAAAAGGAAAGGGGCTGAGGACACCTCATATCTTGGTTGTTCTGGTCTCCTCCCTCCCCATCCCCAGAACACCCCCAAACCCATTCCCCAAGGTTGCTTTTCTGGCCGTGGAAAAACAGGTAGTGCAGTTCCCATGCTGACCGTGCTGAGGGGCAGGGGAAGGCACTTGAAGTGTGGAGTCTCAGCTCTGACAGTGAAGCTGGGACTCCAAAAATTCCTAAGACCTTTTAGGTGCCACAGAGTTGCTATGTTAGTTGCACAAACTACAGATACGCTTTCTTGAAAATGATCATGTTTAACTGACCATTTTCATTATGAATTTGACAGTGCTCATTATCTAAAGCACTGCTCTGGCATACAAAAGAAAATTGCATCCACGTAAAACTCCGACTAGTCTAAGCTAATGTAAGATTATTCTGTTGCCAAGTATTCAGTAGCTTAACATAAAGAAAGACAGACAATTCCTAGCAGAGGAAACAGTAGAATATGTATTCGGACAAGCATTAAGCAGGATTGACCCAAGTGGAAATTGAGAAAAAGCAGTGAAGTAGTGTAGTTTTCAAGGCTTATCAGAGTACATGCAATACACATGAAATTATCCCAGGGAGTATCACACTTGGTGTCAACATCCATATTGGCTCATATCTTCATCCAGCTTCCAGCTTTATCAGCATTTCCATTTTCTGCCTCACAGTCAAGGATCCAAGCAAGTGCCCCCTCTCAAGAGAAATAAGCCTGTTTTGTAAACCAACCTATGAGCCAGGCTTTCATCTTGACAGACATTTTTCTCTGTTCTGTTCCTAGTCTACTACTTCTTTGGGAAACTGATTCAGGGAAATATTTAGAAGCCAGTAGGAGATCACTGCTCTAGAGCAGTGGTTTTCAACCATAAGCCTGTGGACTGGTGGCAGTCCGCAGGAGATTTCCTGCGTCCTGCTCACCGGAGACTGGTGCAGGGGCTGGCTGTGCTCTACCACCTCTTCCTCAGTTGGCATCACATTCACGGAGGGTGTGCCAGTGCCATGGGGGGTGAGAGGGCAGGGAGGGGAAAGATGGTTTGGCCAGAGCCGGCTGGGAACCATGCTGCGTCAATTTTGGTATTGTTCTTTTGTTGGCATTTTTTGTTGCTTGGTTTCTGGTTGTTTTGAAGAATTTTAATTTTTTGGTATTGTCTTTATAAACCAATGCACAGAAAACTGTATTGTGTATATGGTGCCTTTTCTTTCTGCCTCAGTGGTTCTCAAAGTGGTATTTTTGCCAATTCTCAACTGTGGAAAGGTTGAAAACCACTACTCAAGAGCACCATCTTTAAAAAGGCCTTTTGTTTCTGGGAGCAGTTCTTCAAAGCAGCCTGGAAGTAGAGCAGCAGAGATGTTTGCCCATTGCTTTCAAGAGCAGACTTCAGGAAAATTGGATTGGCTCCTCCGTTAGTTGAACTATTTACTGATTTGGGATTAATAAGCTATCTCATTTCTGAGCTGACTGATGAGATCCAGACAAAGCACATCCATCTGTAATGTGTCTTCTAACTCAGTGCAGAATATAGACCAGTTATAATCTGTGTGAAGAGCCTATGCCAAGAGGTAGAACTAATGCTGGGTTTCAAGTGTGATCTCCTGATCCTAAATACTTTTTTATAACTTTTCTATACCATGCCTTCACAGATGTGTCAGGGCAGTTTACAACAGATTATAATGTACAAATATAATGTAAGTAGAATGAGACAGACAGACCAGATTTAGGATCACAGACTTTCTAATAAGCTTGCTCCAGCACTAAAATTATACATTCTTTGTAAGGGAGAATGTAAAGAATACTGTGATAAATATTGTGATTTCTAGCAGGAAGTAGAATGGCAACATCATTCATATTCCCTCCTTTATTTTTTAAATAACAAAACCTGGCAAGAGAGCATATCAATATCCACCAATCTGTAGTTGGCAGTAGGAGCACACCAGAGTTCAATCACCTTGCAAAAAGCTTATCCTTATCTCATTACCACACCTGCAGACAGAGGATTAAATTAAATAGCAACATGCAAACAGCCAGCAGGGATGAAATGTTCTCCTGGGATCCTAATCTCTCATTTACAAACAGCACTACTCTTTTGCCATCTTGTCCAGGACATATCGAGAATAGGCCTTTCCACACCAGTGGATATAATTATCTGACCTTTCCTAGCCAGTTACCATGAGGAAGTTTAACTGAAAATAGAATTACTTAATGGTGTGTCACTCATGATTATCAGATTGATAGAATGAGCCATTTCTGTGTGAAGCCATCACCGTGCAAGTGCAGTTACTTAAAATGAAATATAGCCATTCGTTCTTCATCATGGTCATTTTTTGGGGGAGATATTGATACAGGGGTATACATAAGGCAAGTTGAAAGTGACACTCTCACCGACTTTTAAAATTAAGAATATACTTAATGCAATTTTTAAAGGTATAGGAACATTCCAATAACCAAATAAAATATGAAAGATTTAACTTTAACTTAAGATTAAACTCACATCCTTGTCTTGACTAGTTATTATTAAGTAGGCATCATATTGCCAGGGAGTGATAGTAAAACACAAATATTCCACAACCTGCTTTCTTGAAAGTGCTGGTCTAACACAGTCTGTGAAGAGCAAACTTTAAAAAAAGATTTACAAACCAGCAAAATTGGCTTTTGCACCATTATCAGAAATCAATCCTATATCCTAGGGCAGCGATGGCGAACCTTTTAGAGACCAAGTGCCCAAACCGCAACCTGAAACCCACAAAGTGCCAACACTAAAATAAAACCTGAAAACTAAGGTTTTACTTTAGAAAAAACAACTCATAGAAAGTCCAAGCAAATAAATAAATAAATAATATATTTGCCAGCACACTGACCGGCCAGGCAAAAGCTCAGATGAGTCGCAGCCAATGAGTCATTCCTTTCTGAGCAGGCACATGGCCCCTGTGTGCGCTGTTATCTGATGCTCGGCTGCTGGGATGATGCTCAGGTGACTTAGCTCCCATGTTCACAGAAGGCTCTGCATGCCTGCCATGGCATGAGTGCCATGGCTTTGCTACCACTGCCCTAACCGTACCCTGGTGCACACCCCTAACCCTAATATAGGAGTAAAGTTCCACTGAAAAGGGGGCAATTTCAAAAAAGCCTTCGTTGAGTAGCTTTTTCTGCACAGCTCATCATTTCTGCCCATTCGAAACACATTCCAACCACTAAAAACATAGCAGGACACCTCGTTTCTCTAGCCCTAACCCTACTCTGGTGCACACTCCTAACCCTAATATAGGGGTAAAGTTCCACAGAGAAGGGGGCGATTTTGAAAAAGCCTTCCTTGAGTAGCTTTTTCTGTGCAGCTCATCATTTCTGTCCATTTGAAACACATTCCAAACATCAAAATCACGGCAGGACACCTCGTTTCTTTAACCCTAACCCTACTCTGGTGCACACCCCTAACGCTAATATAGGAGTAAAGTTCCACAGAGAAGGGGGCGATTTCGAAAAAGCCTTCGTTGAGTAGCTTTTTCTGCACAGCTCATCATTACTGCCCATTCTAAACACATTCCAACCATCAAAAACACACCAGGACACCTCGTTTCTCCAACCCAACCCTACCCTGCTGCACACCCCTAACCCTAATATAGAAGTAAAATACCATTGAAAAGAGGGCGTTTTTTGGGAAAGCCTTCCTTGAGTAGCTTTTTCTGCACAGCTCATCATTTCTGCCCATTCTAAACGCATTGCAACCATAACAATCATACCTGGTCACCTTTTCGAGCACTAACCCAGTGATGGGGAACCTTATAGTGCCCGAATGCCCGAACTGTAACGCAAAACCCACTTATTTATTGCAAAGTGCCAACACTGCAATAAAAGCTGAAAACTGAGATTTTAGTTTAGAAAAAATAATTCACAGCCAGTCCAAGCAAATTCATATATATCCTTGGCAGCACACTGACCGGCCATGTGAAAGTTCGGATGAGTCGCACCTTTTGAATTGCAGCTCATGACGACATTGCCTGGCGCCACTACTCCTTTCTGATCATGCGCATGGCCCCTATGTGCGCCGCTATCCAATGCTTGGCTGCGGGGGCGATACTGGGGTGACTTGACTCACGTGCCAAGAGAGAGGGCTGAGTGCCTGCTCTGGTGCGTGTGCCATAGGTTCGCCACCACTGTCCTAGGGCATGGGAATCCAACCTCAGGTTCCAGCATGGACACCCCCCACCCCCTGCAGCCATCTGTGAAAGAAGCAGGCTAGCTGTTCTCAGAGGGTGTAACAACAAACTTGCCCAGGTTGAAGAGGGTTCCAGTGGATGCAGTGGAGAGTGGAGAAGCCGGGATCTGCAGAACTCTGTGGTCTGTTGTCTGTCCCTGACCACTGCCTGAACAGGAGCTACATGGGCTCAGAGGCCTGTCTAGCCAGAGGTTCTGTTCCTGAGGAAGACTAGGAAGCAACATTGTTGTCTCCATCAGCCTCCTGCCCTCCTGGCAACAACCTTTCTGGGTACAGGATTTTCAGAAGTCTCTATGCTAATGGAAGCCTTTCTGTAATGGGCAGCTGTCCTATAGGACTATGCCCCAAAGTACTAATAGAACAGTGTAGCTGTACCACAGGGACTGGAAGACAATCTGGTCTTCCAGAGGGAAACTGCTTCCATCCACAGAAGGGGGATGGAAGTTATTTCCTTATGCAGAAGTGGATTTGGCCCTGACCCTCTGGCTGTCAGTACATTATTTTCTAAGCTAACTATGTGATTTGACCAACTGTTTATTAACAACAATGTCTTTGACTGAGAAAGCGACCATACACCCATTCATCTTTCCACCCTGGCTGATTTGGAGCTCCAACTGGCTCCAAGTTATGCCCTGGCTTGCTCAAAGTATGAGAGGATGTTTCATATGCACAGGACGCACATTATTTATGTTAACTTACAATTATTCTGTTTGGAAGTCATGGTAGGCATGTGGTGGCAAATAACCCGTAAATTGCAGGCATGCACACAATGCCAGATTGGCTTTCTGCTTGCGTTAACAATCCTTCAGTGTCACCTTGAAGAGTTGGTAATCTACACAGGACATAGCTTGTGTGCAGTTCAGGTGTGATGCATGTCCGCCAAATTTGTGGGTTAATTAATCCAACAATATGGTGTTGGATACTGCTGTAACTGCTTAATGGGGCTGTCTTTCAAATCTTACCAGCCTCTGAAGGGTCAGTGTTTAGTAAGATATAGGGTTAGAACCTCCATTCCTAGGGACATGTCCATGTCTCAGTAAAACCTTTTACTGCAGCAACTTCAGAAATTAGCCATAAGCTTGTACAATACCAATAAAGACCCACAATTTGTAATGTGGTTCCTTGACAACAATTAGTTCATGAGCGTCATGCCCCCACCCCCACTCCATTCAGGCCTGTGTTCAGCAGACAGAGTGAATCCAAATAAGTTCACAGGTCCAAAGAAAACCAAATGTTTTCCAGCACATTGTTTGCAGCAAAACAATATGCCCGACCGCCCTTTGAGATCTGCGGGAGAGTCCCTTCTCCAGGAACCCTCCATGAAAGAAATTAGGAGAGTAAGTACTCGGAGGAGGGCTTTCTCTGCGGTGGCGCCCAACCTATGGAACTCACTCCCCAAAGAGGTCCGCCTGGCTCCGTCGTTACTGGTTTTTCGGCGCCAGGTAAAGACTTTTTTATTTAAACATCATTTTAATTGTTAAAATATATGATCTGGCCAGGGCAACTTCTTCTTCCTTCTCTTTTCCCCTCCTATATTATTTATTTACTTATTTTATACTGATAATTATAATTTTATATTATGATGTTTGTGACTCAATGTATTTTTTGGTATTTTTGTATTTTATGGTAATTTATTATGTTCTATTGTATTTCAATGTATTTTATTGTGTTGTAAGCCGCCCCGAGGCTTCGGCAAGGGGCGGCAAAGAAATGTTATAATAATAATAATAATAATAAAAAAACCTACTGCTAGTTGCTATGATTTAAATACAGGACAGTGGCTATGAAATACCATTACTGGAAATCCTGGAATGAAAACCTCGCTCTCATGTAGTTGCTATAGTTGCTATGTCTTACCCAATGTTTCTGACCTGCGCCTCTTTAGCTGAGGGAGATCCCTCTCTTGCAGCAACCATGGAAGGAGAAGTGGAAGCCTCCACTGAGGTCAGGTCCACCAGCTGTTTGGTCCACACAAGAACCCTGTCACATAGGTTAGGTTTCATGGCCAAGAGGGGACTAGAACCTGGATTTCCTGGGTCCCAGCCAGCATTCAAACCACCACACAACATTGGCTATCCCAGCCTATACACACTGATAGCACATTTCATTCAGCCAGATTACGATTTATTGCAGTGCAAAGGCATTTATGCCTAAGAGCAAGACCAGGGTATATGAAAGCTATTTACAAAATGTCCTTCATTCAAAATTTCCCCTGACTTTGCAGTTTTACATTCTTATCTTTTTGTGGAACATCACCAATGTATTGGCCATCTGACAATGCAGTGTTTATTATTTCTGTTATATTATATTCTGGGCTTTGTTTGAATTGTCATATAATTGCATTTACTGCAATTTCAGTTCATTTCTCTCACTTAGAGGTAATTGCTGAGCCCAAATACACACATGCATTGATTAAATCACAGTGCAGAAATCAAGCCTAATGTGATAAGGGTTAAGTTGGTGCTTTGCACCTTATTTTAATCAACACACCTATGCATTCACATGCACCACCCCACTGCTTTTAGGTGGAGGGATATATTGAGAAAATATAAACTAATCATATCTGCATAGTGAGATGTTCACAGAGTATTTTTCACTGTGTGTTCAGATTCTGATATACTATCCCATTTTAAAAGCTTTGCAAAATGAGTTCAATGCCACCACAGTGAAATATTTAAGTACAAAATGAGAATCAGTTCACTACATAATTATAATTTCACCTCTGGATTAGAGGTGTTATAGAAAAACAAGTCAAATTTTACATTCATCTAACCAATATATTAAACAGGGAAACATGTGAAAGTTTTTCCCAGGCAAGATTTAATATTTTTCCTTCCATGATATCGGAAGATAAGTTGTTAGGAATTCCAATCAAATTGAGATCATTCCCCTGCATTTCTGGTGAAACTGAGGCTATTTCTCATGTGTTGTTCTATTGTGGTTTCTACAGACAATTTAGAAATAATTGTTTAATCTCCTCTCAGTGTCATCACTGGGACATTCTGATGAATTTTTGCTTGCCTTTCATTGGGATGGCTCTAATGTCAAGGTAATGTTAATGATTGCTAGATGAAATACACTGCTATTAACAGCAGATTTTGAATGGTGGCAAAGTAAGCTGTACTCTCATTGTAAATTACGTATCTTCCCATTATGTTGTTTTTATGGTTGATTGTCTAATACATAATGATAATAATGACTTCTATAACCTGTCAGATATCGGCTCTTATTTTTCAGTTGGTCGTAGCCTGCCATGATATCTGCAGCTGAACTCCCTTTAATGCAACCCAGTGAATCCCAGCTTCTGCCTTGAATGTACAAAGTACAATTCAGCATAATAGTGGCAGAACATTAAGCACATTTCTACCTCTCTCCTACTGAAATTATTAGAACTTAGACGTGTTTAACTTTATTTCATTTAATTTTCACTATATCCTTCCTTAAAAAGTGTCAGAGCAACGTGTGCGATCTTTAGTCTGCAAGGTAAGTCAAGGTTTATGATGATCATGGTCTTTCTTTTCAGACAAACTGTTGGCATTCCCTATAGATCAGCCAATAAAAGAAAGTGTCTTGCAATTTACATGCAGAAAGAGAGAACATATTAGTCAGGAAAACATCTTTCCTTTCATCGTCCCAAATTAAGATGATAGATCAACTGGACAATCCAAGCACTGCAGCTTGGTTGATAATCCATCCTGGATAACTCTACAAAACCCACAATGCCATTTCTCTTGCTCTATCTCTTTGAAAAATGAGGAAATTAATTTGATGAACAGATCAATCAGGATATGTAGCAAAAGAAAGGAAATCATTTTTGTTTTAATGGTGACAGAAATGCAAAGCAGTGATTTTTTTCATGTGTAGCATGAAGTCATTTCTGCCACTTGTTACAATTTTATAGAATCATGCTCACAGTTTGTATGGGCAAGAATAAACCACTCTTGAATGACATAATTTCTTGCTTTCATTTTGCATAATTCACTCCAGCAAGCAGCCTGTTGTGTTCCGATGTCTTCTGCCAGTGACGTTCAGCTTTTACCTTAAAAACATCATTTATCTCTCCTTATGCAGCTGCATATACAATTTATCATCATACCTGCAGGACAATGCTCCCAAAAGCATTCTTCAGTAGATTGACTGCATCAGCATGGGACAGCCCATCCAAAGGCTCCCCATTAATGCTAACAATCCGATCACCAACCTAAAAGGAAGAAAAGAAAGCATGATAGCAACAGATAAACTGGAAAAGTGTTCAACCTTTCTTGCAAGTTTGGTTCTGCACATCCACATTTCTCAGTTACAGAGGGTTAATAGAGATTTACTGCATTTCTACTGATCATTGAGTGTCCTTCATAGTGAGGATAAAACACTCTTCCTAGGTACCACAAGCCAAAAGTGAGCAGTCATTTTGCTCAGTTTTGGATGATACATCAGCTGTATCTGTTGCTGGTACAATCAGACCTGGCCATAGTCCTAGCTGCATTTCCTGTTTAGAGTACTCTAATGTGTTCTACCATGGGCCTGCCTGTGGAAATTGCTCCGGAATGTCAATTGGCGGAGAATGCTGCTACTAAAACCTGACTGGGTCAATGTGCTGGAACCATGTGCCGACTCCTTCACTTCCATACATTTTGCAAATGTGAAGGCAAGTTTGGGGATTTGCTGATATTTTCAGCAAACTGAGAGATTTGCAAACCAAAATGAGATTCTTATGCATCTGTAAATGCACGATGTACCTCAACATTCCATGGCAAAGCATTTATGTGAAGAATCTAAACTGTAATCTGGGGCTTCCACACCATTAAAAATGACAGGATATGCAGATATGAATATTTGCTTTTCTTTCTTTGAAGATTTTTTGGAGTATGTACCATTATTTTTCTGAATAACTCTGCTGAATATCCCAAACACTGAAGGATGAATGAGATGATCTTTGCCACACTGAGCATCCCTGAGCCTGAAAAGCACAATGACTCTGACTGCTTGCAGAAACAGCTGCAGGCACTTGGAAAGAACCCCTTTGATTTCACAGGCTGAATATAATACATGGGTGTGATGACTTAAATTGTTTCCCTCCAGTGATAGCTGTGGACATGGATGTTCCAGGTCACATGAATGCTTCCCAGGCAAACCCCACAAAACACTGATTCAAGAGCATTTAGAATGCCTGAGCAACAACTCTTTTGATAAAAAGAACTCATTTCTCAGGGTTCAGAAGACTGGGGTCAAGGCCAGCTCTTCAATTGGGTGTGCTGCCTACTCTTCTCTCTGCCTTCTTGGAATGCCTGCAAAACTCCTCCTCCAACCTTTCATTTGCAGCCTTGGAGAGTTAGCCCACACAGTTCTCTCTGCACTGGCTTCAAGGAGGGGAGAAATTTCTGAGCTAAGAGTTTCAGCTCTAACCTCAGAGTGAGTTTCATAGGTTAGAACTGGGGCTCTGAAAAATTCCATGGCAAATTAAATTCTGCCTAGAGGCCATAGGATTGTGAGTCCCATTTCTTAATACAGTATTTTTACAGCTAAGGAAGATGAAAGGCACACATGGCATTTTCTGTCTCATGGTACAGACCAATTTGTCAGCCCTTGGGATCTACCACTTTGTACTCTGGGCTACTATCTGCTGCTTTGCCTCAGGCTGAAAGTTTTGGGGGCCAGACCTGATGAAGAGATAATCAGTCTAGATACCAAAAGCTTAATTTTCCATACAAGGCAACCCATACTGGTTTAAAATAAATTCACAGAAGCAGTTCATCTTTTTCCAGGCCCCTATGTCTGTGGAAAAGACAGATTTTATGACAATAGAATATATTGCAACACAGTACTCCATAATTGTTCTTAAGGAGTTACTCACAATAATAAATAATAATGCTATTAATCAGTAGTGAGAAACAACCACCCTTCACAGTTGTAAGCAGAATTATGCATCTCAATATCTGCAAAAAGCTGCAGCCAAAAATAGTATATATGGAAATAACATGCTGCTTTCACTTACTTTGAGTTTTTGTGTGCGTGCTGCTACTCCACTGGCTTGAATCATGGCAATGAAGATTGGAATATCTCCCAAAGGGCTTCCTTTGCCACCAGCTATACTGATACCAAGAGCATCATTTGGACCCTAAAGAGAGAGATTATTTTATTGTCACAACCATTCATTTTGGCATAGTTCAAATTTACAACACATGCACCACCTGTAGACTGTAAAACATAAAGCCAGGCATGACTATGGTT